AAGCAATCCTGTCTCTGAAATGCTTCCTTTTGCAGGCGAAGAGAAATGGCTGAGCGAGAGAGGCGTGAGCGTGAACGCATCAGGCTGATGCGTGAGCGTGAAGAGCGTGAAAGGCTGCAGAGGGAGAGGGAGCGGCTGGAAATAGAGAGGCAAAAATTGGAACGGGAGAGAATGGAGCGGGAGCGCCTGGAACGGGAACGCATTCGAATCGAGCAGGTGCGTTCGGTGCTCCCCAGTCCTCTTTGCTTCTCTCGGTGGGTTGTCTGGTTACGGAGAGGCGTGCCCAACATTTCAAACTGGAAACATCCTGCAGGATGTTTGAACTGCAGGTCAAAATAGCTGTTTGGAGTTCAAAATGTATTGCTCCAACTTTACTGAAAACATTCCAACATTGTTTTGACCATTTAGGAAGTGTTTGAACCCAAAATGGCCTTGCTGTGAGCGTAGGAAACAATCTACAACATTTAATGATTTTTCAAAGTTTTAGAAGAAATAACGTGGGAGCTGTGTATCAACTGTGTCAACTGATTAACCTTTTGTTCTTAGAACACATAAACCCTCAAAAATAGTATTACTGGCCATCCTTTGTATTGCTTCTATGAATAACACTGTTCATATTTTGTTCTTCTGCATTTTAATACATAATTTATCATCAGTAGTAGCAATGTTAGCCTTACTGCAATCTGTTGGATAAAATCTTGACGTTACCAGGCAGTATCTGAGCCCCCATCATTCAGCACTGATCATTACAACACAAGAAGCTGCAGAATTTCAGAGATCTAAGGCATCCATGCACACATAGGGCCACCTCTTCCTAGATAGCTCTTCAATTAACTCTTCTGGTTAGGAGCGACGTAAGGAGGCGGAACGGATCGCTCGTGAAAGAGAAGAGCTTCGTCGTCAGCAGCAGCAACTTCGTTACGAGCAAGAGAAAAGAAATTCCCTGAAGCGGCCTCATGATGTTGATCACAGGTGAGTGCTTGCTTCCTTTTCAGAGTGGGCACGTGCTGCTGGAGTCATTCTCCCTAAGCAAATTTGGACTTTGCCAGGATCAGCCAACAGTTTGGAATTTCAAGTGGGTGTCCACGTGACTCTGCTTTTTAAAGCCATGTGAGTTTGGGCAGCTGTTTCTGTTTGAATGGGAGATGGCAGTGAGTTAAGATATTTTTCTCCTTTTTAGAAGAGACGAGTCCTACTGGAATGAAAGCAAAAAGATGTCTTTGGATACAGATGCACGCTTTAGCCATGGGTCTGAATACAGCCGGCAGCAGAACCGGTTTAGTGACTTTGACCACCGGGACAGGGGGCGATATCCCGAGGGCTCAGCAGTGCAGTCCTCTTCCTTTGACAGGTGGGTGTGGAGTAAAGGGCGGTGGCTGCAGAGTAGCTTCATGGATTCAGAATTCTGGTGAGGGAGTTTCAAACTGTTTGAAAAATGTTATGATACATACATAAAAATCCTCTAGTCAAAAGAACTGGTATTTAAGATGCTTTGCATTTCCATACCCCATCTTGTTTGTTCCCAGCTAGAGCAACACTTGCCACAATGCCCCCTTTCTGCAGTGAATTGTATATGACTTGTTACACAAAAGTAGTACAAAATGGTGCAGATACTGCAGGCTTTTTAAAGTTAGCAGGCTAACTGAGCACTTGTATTTGAGGTCGCATTCTTGTGTTGCTGCTGTTGTTCTTCCATAAGGATGACATAATGGCAAATAGTGTCTGCCTGTCTGAGTCATTATCCCTGTGCCTGGCTCTACGAGACTCCTGGAGTTTCTGTCTTTCCTGTGCTGTTACCCAAAGGTGATTTTTAGGCAGAGAAGTAGTTTGCAGCCATGTTGAGTAGGTGGGTGTTGAACTGAGGAGTGATCTTTAGTCTGAAAACACATTTTGCTTTTCTGATCAGACGTGAACGATTTGTCAGTCAAAGTGATGGCAAAAAGACTCGTCCAACAGGAAGAAGGGAGGAGCCTGGATTTGAGAGATACCCCAAAAACTTTGATTCAAGAAGAAATGAACCCCCTCAACCTCGAAACGAGCTCCGAGACAGTGACAGGAGGGAAGTGAGAGGAGACCACGACGAGAGGAGGACCGTGATCATTCAGGAGAGGCCTGAGATCCCTCACGGTCGGCACCCACGGGAGTCCGGGCCCAACCCATCCCGGCAAAGCTCTTGGAAGGGTGAAGGGGGCATGAACCCTGACAAGCGGGACGCCAGGTGAGAGATGCCTACCAGGGGCCTGTGGCCTCTGTAAAAGTTAGGGATACTGGGAGAGGCCAGCCCCTCCCATCATAAAAAGTCACAGCCCGGCGCTAGATGTGACTGTGAAGCAGGACTGTACGCTGGGTTGAGGAGAACAAGGACTTCGTTCTTTGGTTGGGATATTCTGGCCCAGTCACAGGCTGCAGCTTGTGGCAAAGGCATCTCTGTAGGAGGCAGTGGGCAGGAGGGTTCACGATTTGGGGCAGCCACTTGAATGGCCTCCCTAGCCAAACAACAGCACGTACAGTTCAGCCCTAGAAGGTCCTCTGCAGAAATAAGGCTGTGGGGCTGACTTACAGCGCCAGGTTGATTCTTCTTGTTTCCCCAGAGAAAGGACGGAAAGATCCGGCCGAGAGGTCTCTGGGCATGCGGTGAGGGGGGCCCCCACGGGCAGCCGTAGCAGCACATCTGGTTACGGGAGCAGAGAGACGGAGCGGGGCGTGATGGAGCGGGGCAGCGGGGGACAGGTGAGCCCATGCCCTCACCAGACAATGCCCTGGAATGGGCTGGCAGTAAGCAGGGTCTTGATTTTCTTGTTATGCCAGGAAACAGACAAGCCACTTCACCAGCAGATCTGGGACCCTTTCCCTTAATTTAGACTTGCTGTCTAGCCATCCAAGCGATAGCATGCCACTGTATGAAATGGTATAAACCCCATCCATGTGGTTAATACTTTTGAAGAATTACACTAGGATTACTATTTCCTGACACTAGTCCAAATGCAATCAGAAACGCATTAAAGCCATCATTTCTGCCATGCATATGACAGTGAAGTGCCCCACTGAGCACCTCTTTCTTGCAGCCATAAAACCAGCCCTGAGAGACCCTGCAAAGGAACAAAATGTTCAGACCCATTCACTGGGGCTTCAGAGGCCCAAAGTCGTGATGTTGGGGGCTGCTGGAACTCATGGACAGAGGACTTTTTCTTGGGTTGTCAGCAGTATGCCTCAGTTGACCATTGTGCTATGGGGCTATCAAACTGATCACTGACCCCACATCTGTAGAGGCTGATCCAAACATCTGTTTCAGCTGGGGCTGTTCTCCCATGGACAGGTCTCTTCCATGCTTTCTAAAGCACCAAAACTTCTGCTCGCTGCTGCAGAGTGCATGAAGCTGTTCTGGTCTTGGAGCACTTGCAGTGAATTAACCAACCTCCCTCCCTCCCTAGCATTATAATGAAGACCGCCACGTGGTTGAACGGCATGGCCGTGATGCTGGACCAAGGAAAGAGTGGCACGGCCCCAGTTCACAGGGCAGCAGTTACCACCATGACACAAGGAGGATGGGAGATGGTCGAGCTGGAGGTGGCATGATGTCTTCTCACTCAAGGTACCCTTGATGCAGCTTCCTCACCCCGCTGTCTGCGCCTGAAATCTTTCAGGAGTTGCCACTCACCATTGGCCCTGTGGTCCACAATTGACAAACCCACGCATGATCCCGAATAGTAGCTGGAAAAGGCAGGCAGTCTCGACTCCCGGCGGGCTTATTCGACAGCTTGAGTTTTCGCTGAGTCCCTGGCGCCCCCTGGTGGGGAGGCGCTGCCTTGTCTCAAGCTCGGTAGCTGCCGATCTTCTTTATTTCCTGCCACTCTTTTTACAGGGGGTCGCCGGATACGGAGCAGCAGTCTCTTATGACTCCCCCATTCTGGCACCCCCCGTTGGCAGTGTTTAAAAAGGAAATATGTCCCAGCTGTTAGACTTTATCTTGTTCACTCTCTGAAAAAGAAGTTTTTCATTCCTCAAAAGCTCACAGCTGTTTCTCTTTAAAATTTATTCCAGTAATTCTTCACCCATTAACAGAGTTGTACAAATTACGGGCAGTTCCATGCAGAGGGGAAGCAGTTCTGGATTTAAACAATTTAAGAGTGGACCGCCACGAAGATTTTGAGCCCTTGCGCCTGCTTGCTCCTTGGTTTCAAGATAACTTATTGGAAATCTCTTGTGAACAGAAAGCTTTGGATAAGAAAACTTGTCTTTTTACATTTTTATTTTAACATAGCTACTTTTCCTCACTTTGGAGGCATTTTAAATAAGTTAGGCTGTTGGGTTTGGGGTAGTTCATTATACCTTTCGAAGACCATTGTTCCTTCTAACTCTAGGAGCCCCTGAATTAATTGGAAGCAAAGACTTGTGCGCTGTACAAAGAACTTGGTTTTTGCCCAGTAGTTTCATTTACCAGCATTAGCTCTGTGAATGTCCAGCTTGAAAATTAGGTACTTCCCACAAAATATATTGGTAATTTAAGCTGTCCATCAACCCCCCTGCTTTTCAGTGTGTAGAAAATAAGGAAGGTGGTTTTCATTTCTGGGTATTCTGTAACCTATTTTTGCAGAAGTTGTTACACTGAGCGGATCTGTATCCAAACCGATGTATCTCCTTTCGAAATAAACTTCATAATCTGTACAGGTACCTGCCTGGATAGGTTAATGCATTCAGCCCTGCTCTCTAGCCCCCACAGGTTCGAGCAAAAGATCTTTGGTTTTGTTTCCCTGCCCAGGTTTAATATGGCAGTAAATATGACAAGTATTTGTAGTTTCTGGAAAATAATGTAGCTAAAGGTATAAAAGGACATGTTCAAAAATAGTATTGTCAACCCACGAACCATTATTGCCTTTTTTCTCACACAGAGAAAAAGTGCTTATTTATTTCTATGGGGCAGAAAAATATGCCATTTGGTGTTTTTTCTTCCTTTCCTTCTATCTGGCTCCATTCAACCACTTCTTGTTTTACATTTTTATTTTAACATAGCTACTTTTCCTCACTTTGGAGGCATTTTAAATAAGTTAGGCTGGATATTAGCATATTCCTGCCCAGGTACTGTACTGAACCACTTTTGTTAGTGACTGGAGGGATAATCTTCAGCTTTCACTGTGCAGAAAAGTGGGTTTCTAGCTTAAGCTCCAGCTGAGTGACCTTGAGCTAGCAAATGGGAACATACAAAGAATTGCTTAGGTGTAGATCTGCAGCTTGGGCTGCGTCTCACTTTCCTTTGCATAGTTGGATGAAGGTGAGGAAGCTGATTGGTTGAAAACTAGGATGAGATTTGGCCCAGGATGGAGTTGATCTTGCATATTGATTGGGGGTCAGTAAGAATAGTATGGATCTGTTTATGGGCCAGGTCAGTCTTAATCTGGTGAAGGTGTAGGCCAAAGCAGAGAAATTCTTTTAAGAGGACACCGGATGCAGCCACAAAGAGTGGACAGATTAGCTTTGGTTTCTCTGCTCAAATACCACACAAAGGTTAGAACTTGAATCAATTTTTATTACATGAGGAAGTCACTTAAGTCTGTTAAAAATTATAAATATATATAAAAATTAGACAACAGTGAGACTAGCAACAGGGGTCAGCTCAAGACATCAAAGAATATTGACAGTATTCAACAGAAAGCAGCTATTCGCTGATCACAGTGTAAATCCATGCAAAGTATCTGATTTGCTAAAAACAGTCTTGTGACTGAGCCATAACTTAGCAATCCATAAATATGGAGGACTGAAGAAAATGCTGCCTGAAGCTTGAATGTGTGTTGCGTCCAACCGTGGCAGGTAACGGCTAGCCTGCTGGAAGCAGAAGGCCATGGATGCAGCCACGAAGCCAAACGGAAGCTGCTTTTGGCCCATGTGCTGCAATGGATGGTGGAACAGAATAAGTCCCAGGCTGAGTTGACCAAATGTCTGCTTCCCTTTTCATTCTCCTTTTCCATTCATACGGGCATCCCACGGTGCTCGTTCTCTACAGGTATCAGTAGAATTGAGGTGAAAAAACTGCTGCGGGAAAGAGCCAAGCGATCAACTCAGAGGTTTCTAGCACAATTGGCATGATTTGGGTTTTTTTCAGCAACACCTTACAAAATTATAAAATTATTTGGCAGTGCTCAAGGGTTGTGTTGATGAACTTCATTTTATGTGCATCGCCACAGTAGAGGCCCTCAGCTGGTATTCGCTCCCATAAGCTACACGGGTGAGCCCCAATACGGCCTCGGTGCCGAAGTCCTTCCAAAGAAATGGCGGTTTCTCTCAGAGGCAGGGCTTGCTGCACTAGGCTAAAAGCTCAGGCGTAAGGCAGGCATCCCCCAGAAGCAAGCACAAAAATAAAACTTCAGTTTCTGCAGAAATAAAAAGGCGACTTACAGTAATTTTGGGGGGAGGTAGACAATGTGGAGTATGCTAGTAAGGCCTCAGCTACTGTGCCCTCCAGCTGCAGAACCAACTCAACAAGCAGGGCAGGGCAACGCCGTTTGAGAATGCGGAGACCCCCTTTGTGCCACCAATACCTGCATGGCTACCGCCCAACAAGTCTTCCTAACAAAAGCTGTCAAGCTATGACAAGGGAGGCTGGGCTTGTAAGACACGGGATTCAGCTAAACGGCTGCTGCTGATCACTGGAGTGAGAGAGCTGCCCTTCTGATGAGAGGAAGTCACTTCTCTACCTGAGAACTGTCTATGAGACGCCATGCTTCACCATCACTAGAGCAGAGACACTTAAAGGCCAGCCGCCTGAAGAAGACAACCCCTCACGCCATTCTGGAACCGGCGTGAGCATGCAAGGAGGCACGCTTCCCCATTCTGCTCTCAGAATGTCACTTATGGCGTGTGACTAAAGCAAACCACTAACAGTGGTCCTGTGTTTTCTCTGCTAGGTTTGTGTATTTCATAACTCTCAAATGTAGCATGTAAAAACAGAAAGGTACAAATTTACACTTCATGTAAACAAACAGCTTTTTTTTCTAAAAATAAATCTCTAACTGCAGTGGTAGTGTATAAATTAAAGTTAATAACAGGATGGCACTCCAGTCTAAAATAGGTTAGGATAATATGCACATCTGAAGTAAGATACTTTGGAAATGTATAAGAGAGATGCTTACATATCGCTCTAACATGATACAAGGTAAATTTAGGTCTGCATAAAACCATTACGTGTGCTATTTATATTTTAGCTTAATGGTCAAAGGCGAGCATTTCATACTTAAAGAGAACACATACACAGCAGATGTAAACACAAACATCATCTGTGGAAATAATGTTGCTAAAATTAAATTTTTATTCCCCCCGCTTTTTTTTGTCCTCCGGCTTAGGGTATCTAAACAGCTGTAAGGCAGGAGGAGTTAGAAATTGGTCACTGCATTGCTAATCTAGACTCCATCCAAACAACTGTTCATTTCAGGAAAAAAAAAATAAGCTACAGGTTTTCAATGACATTTCAATCATCTTCTTCCCTGTAGCGAGATTGTCACATTCTGTATGAATGTTGGCTTGGGACTGAAATTTGTATATTAATACCTAAGTCTAGTCTCAAGTCCAATTTTTGTAAGTACGGCAAAAGCTGCCTAAAGCATTTGCAAACTGATATATAAAGTTACTGAAAGGATGAAGGTCGCTGCCCTTCTGGAGAGGGAAACTTGGTAATTGTCCCCTTCCTTGCAAGAGTAAAAGTCAACAGGTACTCCAGTCAGAAGCCTATATATCCTATGACATGTAGCGTATTGGTTTATACTAGGCTTACAGAATTTGATTCCCCCCCCAATGGTAACTGCGCGTACAGACGGGCTTTCTGCAAACAGTAACCCATCCACATCTTTAGGATGAACAAATAAGTGCCACTAGTGTCCAGAGGACCCACTCACGTATGCAGTTAAGATCCAAGTCCTGAAACAATCCAGATACAGACCGACCTGCAGTTCACTTGACGAGGCATGTGACGGAACACATCTTCACATTACTCACACTAGACGCTTCTTGGGAGGTGGGGAAGAAAGCAAGTTTCAAGCAAGTTTAATCCCACGCTTTAGAACATCAGCTTCCTCTATTCTCCCCCCAGCCCCAGTTACCAGCTCCCCTGCAGAGTCTGACCAGTTGATTAAAAGCTGGAAAGCCTGGTCCTGATGGGATCTTGCCTTCTCTTGCTTCACATCAGCACGGTCGATACATTCCCAAAATCCTGTTCTTTGTAACGTTAGCCAAGGAAACTCAGCTGAAGCCCGTTCAGGGGCAAAGCCCACGAGTCCAGAGAAACTGCACAACGAGGCCGTGCAGGGCCAAGATCTCCGTCTGCAGTGCATCCGGCACACCATATAAAATAGGCCTTCGGCAGAAGCCCTGCGAGGCAGGCGGTGAGCTGCTCCTTCGCCACGACGGGCACGCGAACCAACACTCCTGAGGTACTCGTCTCCCTACCTGCGGTGCGCAACCCTCCCATCCCTACAGGCACCCATCCAGATCCCTCTGAAGGATCCTTAGGACGCCGTCGGCTGTGGGCTTCTCAGGCACAGGTGGCAGGGGGAGCTTCTGGCCGGCGGATTCCTTGCTTGTGCCGGGGTCCAGCGTCCTCCTTCCGCTATAAAATGGCACAGCTGCTCTTCTCCTTCTCCCGCTCTTTTTCCCTCTCCCGAGGCTCTTTTCTTTTCCGCTCAGTGCCCCCAAGTTGCTTTCCTGCTGAGGGAGGGGCAGCATCCTGTGCTTGCTGTTCAAGGGGGAAATACGGGGGGAAAAAAAAGACCGCTTGCTTGCACACTTATGTTGAGACCATCCGTAAAGCTACAGATCCTGGCCGTACAGATGAACTGAACTGTGACATCAGCTTTTGCAGGCACTGCTGAGCAACCGGCATAGAGTGATGGAGTGCAGTGGCACAGCCAGAGTTCTTGCAGCTGGAGGGGTAGCAAAGGTTGCAGGGGAGCCAGATCCCACAGACAGTGCAATTGAGCTCCTAGGTAGCTTTTGGATGGAAGGCATTTTTAGGGTAGGCATTTGAGATTGGAAAATAACACTTTCTCTCATGATTTCTGAAAACATATCATGAAGGAAAATGTCTTTTCAGTGAGGAATATGAGTAATTGCCAGTGTAGTATAAGAACATGCCAAAACCAGGACAATAGATGAGTCTGGAGACCATGTAGAAAGCTAGACTGACCCCCTTTCTAAGACGTCCACCAGCAGTATCACAAAGAAGCTTCCTCAAACAGTTCCTAATGAGCGTCCCAGGGAATCCCATGCACCATTTTCTGCCCTTAAGTGCCCAGATAAGTTCTTGGAGATGTGCCAGGAACTGAACCTGGGATTTTCTGCGTGGAAAAGCAGCCCGCTAGGCAACAGTCCTTCCCCAATAGCACCAAGGCCTACAGAAGTCAGCGTGCCCAGGACTGAAGCAGGAGCCCAACGCCTTTACCTGGACTTGAGCAGCTGTGGCAGCAGTGGCGGCAGCTTGCTCTTGCTCCTGATAGTACTGCGAGGCCCGTCGGTCTTCTTCTTCCTGGAGTTTCTTGGCAAGCTCGAGGTCACTGATTCCTTCTGGGAGCTGTTCCCAATTGACGTCTTGGCTTTGCTGTTCTTGTTGCAAAGATAAGGCCATCAAGTAGTCCTAAGGGGCAAAGTCAGCAGTGAATATTCTATTTAGTAAGGTCCAACCAAAACAGAGCATATTCTCAACCACCACAGAGGTCACCTTCCATTCAATTCAAGCACAATTAGTAGGTGAGCACCACAAGGCTTGGCCCCAGTTACAAGCCCCAAATGCTAGATGATAGAGGAGCTTTTGTAACGTGGATGAGGAAGGAGGAATCCCAGGAGCTTTCACCCCACCCCACCACTCCAAATTGAACTCTCAAGCCAATACACAGACAGGAGGCATCTCATGATGCGCTTCCTGCAAGACCTGAAGATCTCCAAAAGAGGATGGTGTTCCTATTGTGGAGACACCTACAAGTAACTCCAAGTTAAGGTGGTCCAAATGTTACTTTGTGGAAACATGGTGTTTTGCCCAGTTTATTCTGTGGATAACGATGTCAAACAGGTTGGTCGAAGGAGGTGGATGGGAAGGAGAGAGAAATCAGCCCCCTCAAGAACAGAAAAGCCAAAATAATGGAAGAAGCTTCCCACAGATACCTGGTCAATCTGATCTTGCTGCCCATGGTATACCGTTTCTGGATCAGACGGAAGTCGCAGGTGGAATTCAGAATCACAGAAGTTTCCATCCCCATCCACGTTGTGTAGACTTTCCCAAACAACTTTATCTTCGGTAAGGAAACCTTGGTCTGTCACCAGAAGGTAAAGCTGGCCCTGAATGAAAGGAAAGGTTTCCCTGCTCATGTAAGAACAGCCACTGTTTGCACTGAGATCAGCAACACTGTCCTGCATTTCAGTTCTAGAAGCCATTCTTATTTCTGTTTTCTTCCTTGACAAAATCGCTACCCCACTATTTTACTTCACCCTGTCAGCCATCACGCAGGCTGTATCAAGCAATAGTACAACGGCTTGGTGTGCACAGCACACCCAACTTCATTACTGAATTAGGGCATTTTCTGGGTTTGCACAATACATGAAATCACGTAGCAGGTTGCGTGAGTGTGCTGCGAAGTCAGCCCCTCTCCCCCCTCCTCCCAGAAAAAAGGCTGGGCACCCAGAACCCCCCGCCCCATCTGACCACAGCAGCTTTCCCTCCCTGGAAAGAGAGCAAACCAAAGGCCCGAAATCTGGCGAGAGGCCGGAGCAGCTGCAGAGGAGAATAAGCACCTTCTCGCCCCCCCACCCCCCAAACAAAGCACTGCTGTCTGAGCAACCGATCCTGCACAGGCGCCACAAAAGGAAACGCTGCTTCCTTTCTGCTTCATAGACGCACGTGGCTCAGAAAAACAAGCCATTTAGAAACCTACCCAGGAAACGCATCAGGAAGGAGAAGTTGGTCGTAGGACGTGCTCCTCCTTACTTTGCCACTGCGTGACATTTCTAGCGCTGCTTCCCCCCCCCCCCCCGTTGCTCTACGATCCAGGCGTCCCTGCAGAGGAGATCTGCTCTTTCAACCTCCCCAAAATGTGGGGCGGGGTGTGGCCGTCCCCTCCAAGGAGGCAGAAAAAAGCAGCGCAAAGGAGAAGGTGCTTTCTGCTGATTGTCCCACTCTGCAGCAGCAAAGTTTCCATGGGGTTTTGTGGGAATGGGACGACTATCATTTGTGCTGTATTTCTCTGGTGCCAGAGCATCTGCAGGCCTCTTACTCCTGCTCTGGAAAGAGCTTAGGTGGACGAAGCAGCAGGTGAAGAAGACCGGAAGGATGTGGAGGAAGTGGGTAAGGAGACGAGAGAGGGCGGCTGGGAAGACAGAGTAGAAAGCAGGGAGCAAAGGGTGGTGTTTACCAGGGCAAAGAGCAAAGGAACCATGGAGAGAGGTACGGGGGGAGGATGGGGCAGGTCAGGCGGTGTCCCGGGAGGCAGGCAACTCCCCACCAGGCGCCACGCCCCCCGCGCTGTGCTGTTTGCATCCTTGCCTTGGGCTCTGGCCCCGGCGGCCCCTCAGGCTGCCCAGCGGACACAGCTGAGCCTGTGGGTCAGGAGCAACCAAGGGCCACTTTCTGCACCAGGCAGAAGCGTTAGCAGCAGGCCACCGGCTCGAGGTCAGTCCGTGTCCTCAGACAAAACAGCAGTACTGTTCGTAGCCAGATACCTTATGTTTGGTCATGGTGCTGAAGTGGTTGTTTCTAAAGAAGACGCACAGCTCTCCTTCTTGAACAGTGGACGTCAACTCACACAAGCCGTGGTAAGTTAACTGAGTGGCTGTGCTACTGAGGAACTGCTCTGCTATGGAGCCTGCAAAGAGACACAACTGCATTTGAGTGGACAGGGGCTCGCCCTCAAACTCCGGTCACCTACACCTAAAGGAAGCATTTCCAGTTCAACCTCTCAGACTAGCCAGTTGCTTTGGTCTGTTCGCAGAGCTGATCCAAAGTAAGCCTGAACACCAGGATAAAGTGAGAGCCAGAATAGGCTCGGAGGGAAAGCACAGTAAGCAGAAACCGACAGAGGAAAATCCTGTGGTAGCAAGACAAGTGGACCTGCTGTAACGATATCCAGATCAACACAAGCAGGTTGACCAAAGTGTACCAACGCCTTCCGTGAAGAACTGACAGACACCGAACAGTCAAGCTGCCACATACAACAGATCGTAACGTTGATCAGCCACGCTTCACTTGAGAAAAACCGGGTCGACAATAGGAAAAGGCCTTCACGCCTAGCTTGCAGGGGCGGGGCAGGGGTGCCTCTCAGGGGAATCCCTTTCCCATGAGACCGCGCAAGAGAACACGTCCGGCGGGACGGCCATCGAGCATGGTCCGGCAGGCATCTGTCTCTGGCTCCAACGAGGAGAACGTCCCTTCCCATTCCTGAGTCGCAGCAGCTAAGTAAGAACTCTTCTTCAAAGAAAAGTGCCAACGGATGCTAATTGCTCGGGAACAAAAGGAGCGCAAAAGGCCGACCTTTTCGTGGCCCTGCTGCCTGGCTGAGCCCTGGAGGACGGCCAGCGATTACGCCGGATCAGAGGAACGTTTGCTCTGAACCAGCGGGACTCAGAGCGCCGCACCCACCTTCCTCCCTCAGCTCGCTGTTGTCTGACTGCTTACAGCAGATGATCTTTTCCACCAACTGGTTGTAGCTGCAGTTACCGACGGCTTTCACAATGTCTCCGATCTGCAGCAAAAGAAGAGGACTGCCGTTGGTAAAGCCCACACTTTGCGAAGCCAAACAGAGACGCCAGCAGAAAGGCACAGTACGCTGGTTTCCCTCCTCGGGTCAGGTGGCCCACAAGGGCAAAACAAATATTTTCAATGGCCCCAAGGTGTGGCTTCTTCCCTCAAAGGCATCTCGTGAGATTTGTTCCCATGGGATTTTGGCTACCTAACGTTGAGACCCATATTTAATGCTGGTGGCCCAAGCCCCTCTGCAGGAGGGAGTGCCTGCAAGCCCCAGACTGCCACTTACGGAGCGGTCCTCAAGCGCTCTGGACAATGAGGTAGTGGCCTGCGTCAAGGGAAAGGCTGGGAGCCCCTTGTAACCCGTGCCATTGGCCACGGCCACACAGAGCTGCCCATCAGCTGAGCTCTTCTCCCACCTTCCGTGCCTCCACGTTCCCATGGGAGGCGCCTGGCTGGCAGCACTGAGGAGCGTCTTTTCTGCAGTGGCTGCTGAACTCGGGGCTTCCTGCAGCCCCGTTCTGAAAAAGTGCCACGTGGCCCTGTTCTTCCAGACATCAGGAGTCAAACTCCAGAGAATCTGTGCCTTTTCTGGCTATTTCTTAGGTATTTAGCAAAGCTTGTTCCACGCGATTTTTAGGGACTTTTAAGGGCTTAGCTCTTTTAATTGCTTTTAAAAGCCTTGCCAAATTGAAATGCCTCTTCTTATCATCGGTGCTTTTGATATTAAGTATCAAAACAGCTCTTTCTGGCCAGAACAGCAATCACATAAGCAGCCACCATTCACACAGAGCCATGCTCGCTTACCTGAGGATCCACTAACCACCCATGATATAACGGAATATCAAGAAGATCAAACACTATGCATTCGGGCGTGTATTCAAATACTCGTACCCCAGTGAACCTCACATTCACATCAAGGCCTGTCTGGAGCTTATGCAGGACTGCCATTGCGTCACTCACGTTCTGTTAAGAGCAAGACAAAACATCCATGTGGAAACCGAAGCGAGCTTTCTGCACGAAGAGACCAAATAGCTTGTCCGCCCCGCGCCGCACGCCATAACCGCTCCCCGGTTAAGAAGAGCTACCTGATTTGCGCTGCCAAATCCAAGACGGTCAGGAGTTGGCAGCAAAGAGTTGGCGCTCCCTGTCCCTCTCTGCTGCCATCTACTGACCCCGCGCGTTTTGCGGTCCGGATCTGGCGGCCCCAGCGCAAAGCAGGACTGACCCCTGCAACGCGGACCCCTTCACAGACCCGTCGCTCCCTGCAGGACGCGGGGGAGCAGCTGCGGGTCCGCACGGGCGGCGGCGGCGGCTTACCGAGGATGAAACGCCAGCCGTCGGAATTCGCCGCGAGGAAACGCCCCCGTGTTTTACCTGTTCGTAGTTTAAGCGCTGGGGCTCAGAGATCTCCCTTGGCTTCGAATCGAGGATGCAGTCTCCTGCAAGCAAGCAAAGGTCTCGCCTGAGCCCCGACGCTCGCACCCCGAGCGGGCGCGGGCGCGGGCTCGGGC